TGGCAGGCGCCTATGCTTGCAACCACTCTCGGTGATGATCGGCTGGATAGAGTAAAGAGGTTAAAGTACAACGGGAGCTTGATTGCATCTGGTAGTGGTGTTTGTGTGTGTGTGGTAGGAGATCACATCACGATTATCGATAGCTAAAGTAGCTCTTGACAACCTGGGACACATGTGAAGCAGACGTGACACTTGACTTTCAAGGGACACGGGTGGATCAGCATGGTTCGTAGTGAGAGAGCCAGTCTGTACTCTCACGGGGTGCTAGCTGCATCTGTTAATCGAGCACCGATGTCTTATCACAGTTGATCGTGTTTGTTCACTTTCATTGTCGACGACATAGCACACTATGTGGTCCCCAAAACATTGTCACTGAATACACGGCTGGAAAAACATCGACTGAGTAGACTCACGATCTCGTCCGCCTGGTCGCATGTATGGAGGACGTGCCAAACACACTTGACAGCCTAAGAAGTTCTATTGGTTCGCTTCGTATGCACTTTGCCCCCCTAGAGAGCAAAAGGATGCTACAAGACCGAGGGCCGTCTGCCACTGATCATAATTAGCTGCATGACAAATGAGCTAGAAAGTTACGCAGGACTGAAATAGGTGTGGTCCGACGTAATGCCACTTTGAAGCTGACAGACAATGTGCGTTGTCACCGTGCTACCAGGTCTGCATTTGGGTTACGAGGTCCTAAATTTGCGCGTTATCAAGAGGCATTCGACTGTCGACGTTTACAGAGTTTGGTTCACGAGAATCGAAGAAAAATCGCTGAGGATTGTCTAAAACAGCTCGTAACGCGACCCAGTATCGCACTTATAATAAATTCTTTGACCATTGGCTTAGATGATTATTGGCTAATGACTATTCTCCCCCCGTATTTTATTTTCTACTTTCTGTGTACTCGGTTTTCGCAAACAGAAGAAGCGGAAAAGAAAACAGTCAAAGAAAAACTTACGTCCTGTTTGAGATCGATCAGTGATCACAGCAAACATGTGTTGCAGAATGTCCATATAGAACGTTTTGAAGAAAATTTGCCTCTGTTCTACTTTCGCGTTGGACATATTGACTAGCATTCTATTCAGAATGTTTAAACCAGTTTCGGATACCTGAACAAAATGAGGTAAGATAGAAAACGTGAATTTTTACCATCGTACTTGACACCCAACCTCACGTATCTGACAACACAGAGTTCTTCAGAATCAAAACAAGGACCTGACCATATTCGAAGATGACACTGTTTAAGCCAGATAGGAACTAGCTATAATAGATGGCGAATAATTTTGCTTACCTTGATTATACAAATGAATTACAGGTTTTGGCATGAGGACTGAGAGCCGAATATCCCTAACGAGTGCAATTGGTTAATAAGTGTTCAAATAGCTCCGAAATTTGTTTTCTTGTGCCGAAAACCCACGGTTTCAGTTTAGAATACTAGCCTATAACATTGTTTCAATTGCGAAATGTGAAAACAGGTATTCATCAAACCCATGCAACACCCTGACTGTCATCACATTTGTTCTTTACCAAAAGATGTTCAACGAGGCAATAATTCCGAGGTCNCATGGAAGGAAGGGGTGATTCCCCCCCCCCCACCTCCTCCCATTTGCAAAGGGGGCTCTCGCAATGATCCTGCCAACTACCACCCTGTTCCACTTCCTCCGATACTGTCGAAGGACATGGAAGCTATTGTGGCAGATCTGTTGATGGAGTATCTGGAGACGTATGAGCTTTTGTCTCCAACTTAGCACACATTTCGGCAAAAGCGTTCGTGCAGCACAAATCTACTTCCTGCACGGGATGAGCAGACAAAATCCGTCGATGCAGGCCAGCCATTGGATATAGTTTATTTGGACTTCGCAAAGGCATTTGATTGAGTAACCCACCAAATTCTACTGCGAAAGCTCCACAAATACGGAGTAAGAGGTTAGGTTCTCGACTGAATCAAGGAGTTTCTTTGTGTCAGTTCGTGTTTGTGATTCATTATCAAAGCCTATCACCGCTGCCCGAGGGGTTCCTCAAGGATCCGTACTGGGGCCTCGTCTCTTTCTTGCATTTATAAACGACCTGCCGCATGTCCTTGGGCCTAATATAGTGCTATTTGCGGCCGAAGCTAAGATCTGGAGAACCGTAACACATCCAGAAGATTATATAGCCCACCAACAAACAATCGATGCAGCCCATCGATAGCCACTCGCCAATAACATCGAGTTCAACTTTTCCAAATGCAGAGTTATTTCCATGCGGCACAAGACTCGTTTTTCCTATGTACTGGGGAACCGAAAACTACCGCATGCCACAGAGGAAGGGGATTTGAGAGTTATGGAAGAGGATGTAGAATGCTCTACGCACTGTGCCAGAGTATAATCTATAGCTCTAAAGCAAGTTGTACTACTCAGACCTGTTTTTGGGCAGTTCGAAAGATTACTGTTCCCACGCTTCCTATCAGCGTTCATTTGGCCAAACACGGAATATGCCTTTCAAGTATGGAATCCATGGTTGAACCGCGACAAGAAGGCTCTAGAACGTCCACATAGGTTGGCAACAAAATTGGTAAAGGGTCTGCATAACAAGACATACTCCGAAAGACTGCAACATTGGGACTACACTCAT